TATATATAAAAATGATTTAAAAAAGCATCAATTAGGATAATTCCTGGACTGGGGCTAAGCATAAGGGAAAAACCTGCAGGCTGTCCTTATACACCAATCGTTTTCTCCACATCCTTTATAATACAGTAGGTGGGAACAGCAAGTTGAAAATTCCTGCCTCATTATAGCAAGAAATTCCTTCTCCCTTTTTCATTCTCCCTGCATGAAAAGAGTTGCCTCAATCAGAGTGAGCTGTTCACAGGTGAAAGTTGAGACTTACAGTGCTGGTCCTGTTAAAGTAAATGAACTGCTTCGCCATGGTGCTGATGTGCTTTATCGAGACAAGGCTGGCAACCTCGAGCTGAAACAAATGTAAATGGGTTGAAAGAAAAGGAATCATTGAATCAGCTGGGTTGGAAAAGACCTCAAAGGTCATTGAGTCCAGCCCGGCCATGGTTACTAAACCTTGGCATCAAGTGCCACATCCAGTCTCATCTTAAAAACCTCCAGGGATGGTGAATCCACCACCTCCCTGGGCAGCACATTCCAATGCCTGAGCACTCTCTCAGTAAAAAAATCTCTTCCTAATATCCAGCCTAAACCTCTCCTGGCAGAGCTTGCGTCTGTGCCCTCTTGTCCTCCTGCTGATTGCCTGGGAGAAGAGACCAACCCCCACCTGACTCCAACCTCCTGTCAGGGAGTTGTAGAGGGTGAGAAGGTCTCCCCTGAGCCTCCTCCTCTCCAGGCTCAACAACCCCAGCTCCCTCAGCCTCTCCTCATGGCACTTGTGCTCGAATCCCTTCACCAGCCTCATTGCTCTTCTCTGCACCTGTTCCAGCACCTCATCCCATTGGAATCAGCCCATCTCTCCAGCCTATCCAGGTCCCTCTGCAGAGCCCTCCTGCCTTCCAGCAGATCGACATTGCCCTCCAACTTTGTGTCATCTGCCAACTTGCTGATGGTGCACTCAATCCCCTCACCTGAATCATCAACAAAGATATTAAAGAGAACTGGGCCCAACACTGACCCCTGAGGAACACCAGTAGTGACCGGCCACTAATAGTGTTACTCTTTCCAAATCCAGACAGATTTCATAAGGCTGACCTTCTATGGGGTAAGAAAATGTCCCTATTATGAACATGGGGAGCCTTGCATTGACTAACCTGTTTGTGTAACAGTGTTAGTGTCATTAAATTATGACTGAGCTTGGTGAATGCTGCATGTGAAGAGCTTGTTGCTCTTCACATAAAGATTAAAAAATATATTATTTTTTCTTCTAATTATAACAACCAGCCTCGGTAAAGTTAATGCTTCCCTCTAAAAAAAATCCCTGTTTGCATCCACAGACCACTTCAGAAACGGTTGTGCTGGTATCCTATCAGGGTACACATGAATTTCTATTCCCTGTGATCCCACTCTGTGCTGGGAGTCACCTCCACCTCAGATTGTGCAAGTGGCATCTTTCACTAAGAATATGATCACTTCCTTCCTTTCTTCTGCACAACAGTGCCTGGGGTGGAGATCAAATTCCACCCTGGTAAAAACAGGAGGCTTGTTTAGAAGATGACAAAAGCAACTCTTTCTGAAAAGCAGAAGACTAATCTTTTCAAAATAAGCTCAGAGAGCTTGATTTTGATGGCATTAAGTACTGTTACTGCTACTCCTGCTTGCAGTCTTGGCAATACCCCCTGACAGCGGATCTTGCTCTTGCACTCTGGGTCAGCAAAATAGCTCTGCTCACCTCAGTATTGGCGACGATGTGGTATCGGACCAGCTCCAGCAACTTCCATGAACCCTGCCAATGCAGAAAAAAGGCTGTTTTAGCTAAAAATGAGTCACACAAACCCAACCTGGCCTGTTGAGAGGACATGGGGATAAGAAAAGCATCACTGTCTGGTGCACCAGAAACCTCTGGGTCAGGGGTGGTGCATGCACCCGGACATCCCGTGCCCTCACCCCTAATCACCTTTTGTTTTGGCATGGGCCCCCCATGACTTGCATGTGTGTTGGGAGAGGCAAGAGGTGTCCAGGGGACAGGACATCAATATCCACCTCCTGGGACCTCATCAGAAGTGTCTCCCATCTAATGGGGCAATTGTGGCATCTGCTCCCCTTGACTATTTCCAACAAGGGTGACACCTTTCAGGTGAGGGTTTTGGGCTTTGCTATGTGGCCGTCTGGGCAAAAGCAGAGGATTGGTGGCCTGGTGTGGAAGATCCTTTCTGCTATATGTGATGGAAAATCCCAAATCGTCTTCCTCTCTAGGTATTGTCTTGATCTTTCATTATTAGAGATGGCTTTAAACTTTATCATAGCAGCTCAGTTTAGATGAACACTGGAAAATGTATGTGTGCATCTCCTGTATATCACAGAATCAGTTAGGTTGGAAGGGACCACGATGGGTCACTGGTCCAACCTCCCTGCTCAAGCAGGTCCATCCCAGAGCACATGGCTCAGGATTGTGTCCAGATGGTTCTTGAATACTTCCAGTGAGGGAGAATCCATGACCTCTCTGGGAAATCTGTTCAGTGCTCAGTGACTGCACAGGAAAGTTCTTCCTCGTATTCAGGTGGAACTTTCTGGCCCGTTTTTGCCCGTTATCTACATTTTTGCTCATATATAGCTACAGTTTGAGAAAGATTTGCCATATAGAAAGACTATACCTCAGCAGAAAGCAGGTAATCTAGAGCCTCAGATTTCATATTACTCAAAGCCTCATTGCTTGGAACAAAGACTGTGTATAGCCTGCCATCCTGCTGTAAATCCATTCCCAGGCCAGTTTTCTGTTTTGGTTGAAAAATACAAGTGAGATTACTTATTAATATTGGAGAACATCTGCAAATAGCTTTATGTAGTTACTTTTCTGGATACTTACCTCTAAGAAGGATGCAAATTGGCTATACCTTCCATTCCCTTGAAGTACTGACATTATGGTTTCCTGAAATAAGATTTGTTTAGTTGGGAACATGGAATAAATGCCAGTTCCTGTAAGACATTTCTTGAGTTACTGTGGAGTCTCATTTATTATAGATTGAATACGTTTCAGTTTCCTGGTTGTTTGGGTGGCTGGTGGTGCCTGGAAATGTCTGAGATGGTAGAACTCTTGTCCTCGTGCTATGCTGGCTTATAGTTAGAGATTGTCATTGTCTTGAACTACTGTGTAGTCACAGCAAAAATCAGTGTGTGCATGGAGAAAGGTTTATTCTCTCTTTGTTCCCAAGGAAAAAGGGCAAAGAAGTAAAATACTTGCAAAAACACCATATAAAGAAGTGAACTTTTGAGGAAGGATTATAAGCAAGGCATCAAAACCCCAAAAGCATCCTGAATCACCAGTTTTTACAATATTAACCTTTTAGGGGGAGAAATTGCAGCTTTGAATACGAGTCTTATCTGATATCTCTCCAGATGTCCCTCCTTTTAGTATGTTCCCCAGTGGAATTCACTGAGCATGACTGCCAGTTTTCCAAGGAACCACTCAAGTGCAGGGAGTACATCCAGATTCTCCAAGGACCAGCTTGGCAGGAGAGGTTTAGGTTTAGGTCCCTTCTGCCAAGGAAGGTTTAGGTTGGGTATCAGGAAGAGATTTTTATGGAGAGACTAATCAGGCATTGGAATGGGCTGCCCAGGGAGGTAGTGGATTCACCATCCCCGGAGGTTTTGAGATGAGACTAGATGTGGCACTAAGTGCCATGGTCTAGGAACCATGATAGGATGGGACTTGATGCTCGTGGAGGTCTTTTCCAATCTGGTTGATTCCATGATTCTATATCTTTGATGTGGAAACTGTGTCATTACCTTTCCCTTTGAATGTTGCTTCCCTGAGCTGATGCACGATGGCTTAGTAGAGTTGGTTTAGTTGCTGGCAGTCAATCTCCTATGCATTCAGTTAAAGTGAAGCTGTTTAAAGAGGAGATTTGACTTCACATGTATTTAGTTTATGGCTCACCTCTTTGCTGCCTTCAAATGTGGGCTCCACATCGTCCATGGCTTTGTCGATAATGTGCAAAATTCCATTGGAAGCAATAATATTTCCCTGCAAAAGTTTTCCTTTTCTCCTTCCTCCATGGATTCTGATTCTTAATTGATTATCCTGCAAGAAGATAATGGTTAGTGAAAAGCAATGGATAGTGAACTCTGTATTGTGAGGTTACAACAGGGTGAGTGTGCATGTTGAATGCAGTCTAAGAGTCCCTTCCACTGCCAACACCTCTGCAATTTACATCTGGGCAGGATAAAAGTTATGATGCTTATCAAGGAAAAGGAAATCATTCTTTTGACCATGATCAGGACCATGTTCTTTTGCTCCAGGACAGCAAAGTTCAGAAGAGAAGCAGAGATAGGCCCTGTGGGGAAAGCAGTGTACCCAAAAGGGCTCTGATGACTGCTAACAATAAAAATAATCCAGGAAATGATTTAAAATGTCATTGTGCTGAAAAAGACAACTCTTGTAATCTTAAGGGACTCCAAATCATTTCCTTATATTATATGTATATTTAAACCAACACAATGTTGCTGATTCTGCACTGTACTGAATCCTGCAGGAAACAAACAGGGCTCAGACAGCAATGATATTTTCCTGTTACAAGTGCAATGTGTACTCATTGAAGATACAAAACAGATCTCTCAGATGACACTGATCTACTGCAAAACATGGTAAGTGCTTGATTTCAGGCTTCATACGGGACCAAGACATTGAGGGACACTTAATGCACCCAGAAAAATTATATTAGATTATAAAATCTAGTGTATCATCCACAGAGAACAAACTGTTTAAACTGTGGGATCAGACTCTCCTCATGTTTATTGTTATCAGAGAAACTGGGCTAATTATTAACTTTGCTATGCATTTTTCATGGTCCATCACCACGCGCATTGTAGCTCTGCTGAAGACTTCTATTTGTTGCATCCTTCAAAGGGTGCTGATGCTCAGTGGGATGTGGGATCTGTGGTACAGTTAGTGCTTGCTCCATGTGAGCAGTACATACAGGTTTCCTGCATAAACTCTTGGCTTCTCTCTCCCCATGCCACCTCTTCCTTCACCTAGGCTCTCTTTGAGCCCATCCCCTCCCACTCAGCTCTGCTGGTCATGCCTGCAGATTTCAGATGACTTCATTTCATAGAATCATAGAATTTAGGGATTGGAATGGACCTTACAGATCATGTAGTCCCAACCCCCTGCCCTGGGCAGGGACACCTCTCCACTACATTAGGTTGCTCAGGGCCTCATCCAGCCTGGCCTTGAACACCTCCAGGGTTGGGGCAGCCACCATGTCCCTGGGCAACCTGTGCCAGTGTCTCACCACCCTTAGAGTAAAAAACATTTTTCTAATATCCAGCCTAGACTTTCCCTCCTTCAGTCTGAAACCATTACCCCCTGTCCTATCATTGTAGTTCCTACCACCGAATCCCTCTCTGGCTCCCTTGTAGGCCTTTCACACATTGATAAGTTGCTCTGAGGTCTCTACAGCGTCTTCTCTTCTCCAGGCTGAACAGCCCCAACTCCCTCAGCCTGTCCTCATAGGGGAAAACATTTTTAGAGCAGCCTGTGTTAGTCTGCTTCATTCCTCAGTTGTGATACATGTCTAAAAGTAATTTTTGGTTTTGCTGCTTTAACGGGAACTTTGATGCTAGGTGAGGGTTCAGGTTTTTCTTGAACTCCTTGTCGTGCATGGCCACAGCTATGGTTTTTCATAACCCAACAGTTCCCTGATGTCTCACTGCAGAAAGAACTTTCCTACTCCTTATTGAGGAAGCAGACAGCAGCATTCTTGCTGAGGTAGGCTAAAGGACCACTTACCTTTTCTCCCTTTGATATCTCTCCTGACCTGCCAGTCAGAGTGTATATTACACTAGTATTATCCAAGCTGCTGGTGTCCAGTTGACCAGCAATAACATGGAGTTTCACAAAGTACTGAGCTTTCTGTTTATTATTCAGAAGATCCTTTATCTAAAAAAGTAGAGCAACAGAGATTTATTTCAATGCAGGCTTCATCTTAAAAAAATGTGGCGGTGAATGTTTTTTTGCTCTTTCCAGCTGTTACATCCTGCAATTATGTTTCCCTCTGAAGTGAGGTGATGGAGTCTGAACCAAATGGAGAACTCTCTTGGTTTCAGTTCAGCTCACGTTACAGCCTTATTTCCCTGCACGAGCAGTAGGTGCCTCCAGAGCTGTCCTGACGTCAGTGGAAGGTAATGGATGCTCACTACTCATATATCAGGCTCCTCGTTTTAATCGAAGCAATTATCTTTTGTCCCCCTTTGGCAAAAGGTGACCTGTAGGACTCTGTGCTGGCAATTCAGCCCCTGTCTCAACCAAGTGCTTTGAGCACGGCCATGTAAGACAGTCCAAAACTTACCAGAAGCATGACAGTGTTCTGCCCTAACTTGCCAAAGAGTTTTGCTTTTCTTTCATGTAGGAAAAAGCCAATCTCTGGCCCCTGTATTTAAATGTGCCCAGAAGAATACTAGAGCAAAGAGTTCTTCTTTATCTGTTGAATCAAACCACTTTTAACACAGGTGAGATTTCTGAAGAAGCTAAATCCCCCTGAATTCAAACCCCTTTCTCTTGTTTACTTACATTTGTACCTTTGAGCCCCTTGTTTGTTGGTACCAGCACAGTAAATGGTCCCAGAGTACTCAGTGGCCACTTGTAGGTATTTTCTGATGAGAAGAGGAGAAAAAATGTTTAAATGCCTGTTGAAAAGCTTCTTGGACAAAGAGACTGTGTGCTCTGTGCGAGTTATGCCAAGGCAGAATGAGCAAGAATATTGTCTGTGATTATTAAATGTTAATTTGGGATTCTAAAGTACAAGGCATTAAAGGAGGAGAGACAGATGGGACATGAAATCCAGGTGCTGCTGCATGTTTGACAGAGGCTGAGGCAACACATGCAGAATGTTTCTGGCAGCCTGGATTTCATGGCATGCAGGCCAGGGTGATGGACATCAAAGCAGCAGTTTCACTGGAGATATCCTGCTTTAGATCAATCCAGTCTCCACGGAGTGAGGGATACGGTGCTGATAACCTGCTGGTAGTGGAAATATCAGCAAACACATAGCTGATAACAGAACCAGTGAATTAAATTTCATTTACTACCCAGAGGGTATTTCTGTATCCAAGACAGCAGCATGAGGCCACCGATTCTGCAGCTGATGGCATTAAACATTTCTGATATTCAGCTCTTTTTCTTGAGGTATGAAATCAGAAATGGAAAAGTCTTCATAGTCATTACAGGTTTGTTGTATCTTTTTTTTTCACTTTTGACAATGTGTCTCAAAATTATTATGCTGTTCTGCAAAACAATGTGGACTATTCAGGTGCATATTCTTAGCTGTTGAAAGACATCATTGTGGAGTGAACATATGGCAAAATAATCTGTGTTATCTCAGTGCTGAGGCAATGGATATTGGTCTGCAGTGCTGAATGTGAAGGTCGCTGCCAGGTTTTGTCCTTGGCCAGCTATGAGGGATTGTTACTCTGTTCTGGTCAGGAATTCAGGATCTTTAATTGCTGCGCTCTCTGAATAGGACTGAGCAAATTCTATCAAACAGAAGGGTTTTTTTCACATTTACACATTTTACTCAAAGATCCAGCTCAATTCTAGCAGTGTTTGTTCATACCTCAAATATTTTGGCCATGCTACAGAAGATGACAAAGACAGTTATGCTGTTCACTCCACAAGATGACTGCAATAACTGTGGAAGGCTAGAAGTTGTGAGCCCTGGCAGGGGCTCCATCTCCCATTTGCAGACAGTTTGGGAATGTGGAGATCCTCCCAGCTATGGCCAAGGTGCTCTGGTGGGAAGTCCTGAGGGTGATGGAGACAACAGATGGGATCAGTCTCTTCCTCTCGTCTCTGGCCTCTTTTCTTGTGAAAGCAATGTCACTGCTGATGGTTAGGGACTGGGGAAGGGAGATCCAGCTGGGAATGTCAGTGTTTTGATGGATTTCTGCGTGTTGTTCTAGATCAAATCTCGATTGTCCAAATCCATGTGGTCAGGGAAGAAGTGGATGATCCCACTTATTACACTACAACGTAAAACCCACTGGTGCTATCAAATGATGTGTGAGGGGTTGTGGTAACATGTTTAGTTTCTATGTGGAAGTTCTTGCAGACTGCAGGGAGTGATGAGCAAAGCAGGTTTAGGTGGTGTGTGGGACTTCGAAGTGAACAGAATGCATGCTGTGTCATGCTGTGAGTGGCACCTTCCTGTAGCAGAGGAGCTTGGGGAAGAGAGGCTAGATCAGCCCACTGGGCAGAAGCTGTCTCTGCTTGTGTATGGTTACTTACCCATGAGCAATAGGGTGGATGTCAGCTTGCCTTGCCACCGTCCTCCCACTTCTGTATTCAGGTCTTGGAGACGCTCCATGATGTTTCCATAGCACACAAACCCATTCCCCACGGAGCCTTCCTGGCACGTACACCTGTGAAGGGAATGTGATTTTGCCCTGTGGTGTCATCAAGGCTCTCAATAAACCAGTGCCAGCTGTTACCTACTGCTTCTCTGAGGACATTTTCAGGAAGAACCAATAGATTTTAATTTCATCTTTCCTTCTGCATGCTGTTAAGTATATGGGGCAGCCTGGTGGCCGCTTGCCTGATGTGAAGTACTCATGCCAGCTGGGCCAGGAGACAGTCTCTTGCAGGACCTCTTTGAATGGAGACTCTGTGATGTTTGTGGCTGTGGTGCAGCCTCTAGTTCCAAAATGTTGTGGTTGTTGGAGCCCAGAAGGCCACAGAACCTTCCTGTCTGTGGATGAAGAGAGGGGACAGCACACATGTGTAGGGTACCACCCTGGCAGGTTGTTTTTTCAAGACCTCACTCATGACATGGGATTTGGCAGGATTAGTGGTAAAATGGGTGATGGCAGCTCATCAATCCTTGCAATAGTTGTATGAGTCTTATAGAAAAATCAGATAGGCATGTCAGTCCTCTCAGCAAAGCAAAGTGGTAGTTTGTTACTCTTCCCTTGAAGTAATGCAATCATTTTGGGCAATAATGCTTGTACTTTTAATCTTATCTTTTTTTTTCAGAAGCTGTTGAGGCACAAAATCTCATGCTTTATGTTACTGTTGCTTCTGTAGTGGAAATAACATCTCATCTGTAACACCCTGGCTATCCCCTGGACACTCTAGCCTCTGAGAGGTGTCAGTGATGTACACCTGACCCAGTACTATGGGTTGTCTAAAGCAGACTCAGGTCGTGGTGCTCATGCCTTGTGTTGGATTCAAAGTCCACCACATTTAAAGTAGTGTGCTGCAGTCAAGGCAAAATCATAGAATCATCAATGAATCATAGAATTTAGGGGTTGGAATGGATTGTTTAGTCCCAACCCCCCGCCCTGGGAAGTGACACCTCCCACCAGACCAGGAAATTTATAAAAGGACCACCACAAGCATCAGCCTGACATTTTCTATCCTATAAAGGAGGGAACACACCTCATGGGAATGAAATGCTTTGGCCATGGAAGACCTCAGCGTCATGAGAGGTGAAGAAGAAATTGTTGTTTGTCATATACTTGCTATTAGGGTGCTGATGGGTACGAATCATTGTGCATTTCAAACAGCAGCTAGGACTTGGGTATTACTTGACCTCGTGTCAGCCCGATTGTTCACCAGGAGAGGTGGTTAGTACTTTCTAAAGCACCTAGACTCTCCACGCCAGATGTGAGGGGCCATTGAGGCCTGTTGGTTTTGCCAATTTGAACTCTTTCTGTCAGCCCCTCCTGGCCTGCACTTGGGAGACTGGCTGGAGGTGTCAGATCAGCCATTTACTCATCCTCAGTGCTAAGATTAAAACATGTCCACATGTAGCATACACAGCAAAACACCCTAACTATATTTAGGAAGTGGAACAACTATGTATGTTGTCAAACCTTGGCTTTTAATAGTTCCTTTCCTAAATATGTCTTCAGTGTGTTCATTATTCCCATCCATAATGATTCACCTCTCTGGATATTTTTTTCTAATGGCATCATTAGAGAAGGAACATTACTTCACGTGAGCAAAAGATGCTCTTTATATAACTAATGGCCTAGTCATTTGCATGTGCTGGTTGTTACACATCTGCCACTCACATCCCACAGTAATATCAACCTGATGCCAAACCCTCTCCTGTTCCCCACATATGGTCTGTGCTGTAGCTGTGTCTCTAGTGATAGCAATATGGTTTGAAACATAGTACATAGTGTGGCTTCACAGGTTTTGCTTTGGATGCACAGCGTCCTGTATGTGCTAGGTGTCCCTAAGGAGGAGTAGCTTTACAGCAACCCCTGTTGGACTACCTAGGCTTAGCTGTTTGATGTTTCCATGGGATGCTGCAGGCCTGAAAAAGATTGGAACTGTCACTACTTCAGCTTACTCGGAGAGGGGGAGAGAACACTGTATCTCTCTGGAAAAGGAAAACTCAGCTTGTCTCCATTTTACCAAAACTCTATAACAGTTTTGGTTGATCAAGCTACTAATTTCTGCATTGAGGACAAGTAAAAAGAATTGGATTAGAAAAGAAAATGATAGAGTTTAACTGATGGAAAGGTAGTTGACCTCGGAAACCAGAGAGGTTATGGTCTAATATGCACTATAATTCTGTACTGGTGGAAGCTTTCTAGCTTCTGGGCAAGGCTGAACATGATTACTGTGCTGAAGCAACACCATAGAAAGTGTCAGCACTCACTCAGCAAAGATCTATGTGAGAACATAAACCAGAGGCAATTGTGACTTTCCAGGAGATTGCTGTATTATGTTCACAAACTAAATAGTTGTCTTTTTTTTACATCTTTGCCTGTATGAGAGATTTATTCCTGTACAAATCATCTGATTCTGGGGAGAGTAGAACTGTCTTTATGTGGGAAGCTAATAGCACAAGTGTATCCTTAATAAAAACAAAAACAATAGAAAGGAAGCAATGCAGTTTTGTGGCCTCTGCTACAGCTTTGTGTTTTAGAAGAAGAAAAAAAACCCCACAAAAAGGCCCTCCCAAATGCATTTAGAATCTGGGATGCAGCCAAAATACAGTCTGTCCCTTATCCCAATCAATTTATTGTGACCACATTAACCAATCAATGCTTTTCTTTGTAAAGTTCCTCTTTTGTAAATGGATTTTCCTTAGCTGGAAACTATTCAGTATAGTCTCAATTTCTTTGCCAAATAGAGAGACTTAGTTGGATTTGAATCCTACTTCTTTCTTCTGTACTTGTTTTTGTCATTAAGTGTTGAATGAATGACGTGTAAGGTATTTGGATTGGGTTTTTTTCCCTCCCCAGTCATGAATTTTTAATTTTCCCATTCTAAAATTCTCAGAGCTTGGTATATGTAAACAGGACGAGGGAGTTGGGGCTGTTCAGCCTGGAGAAGAGAAGGTTGTGTGGAGATCTCAGTGCACCTTCCAGGACCTCAAGGGGCTCCAGGGAAGCTGCAGAGGGACTCTGTGTTAGGAGCTACAGTGACAGGACAAGGGGTAATGGGTACAAATTGAAAGAGAGGAAATTCAGGTTAGATATTAGGAAGAAGTTTTCCCTATGAGGGTGGTGAGACACTGGCCCAGGTTGCCCAGGGAGGCTGTGGCTGCCCCAACCCTGGCAGTGTTCAAAGCCAGGGTGGATGAAGCCTTGAGCAACCTGCTCTGGTGGGAGGTGAACCTGCCCAGGGCAGGGAGTTGGGACTGGGTGATCTCTAAGGTCCATGCCAACCCCTAAAATTCCATAAAATTCTATGATTCTATACTAAGTATATTGTGAGTATATACTAAGCAGTTTGTGGTGCATACTATGTTCTAGAAATGAGCTAGGGGTATTCTAGAGAAACTCATTTGAAACACAGAAAAGCCTACAGGAATGTGATGCTGTTCTTGCACTGCAATGAAAGCTGCATGATGATGCAAGAACTGGCAATAAGAATAATCTCCTGAGTGAATGCTCTATGTGATAATTCGTTCCTAATTTACAACGAATGGCTTGTCTTGTCTTTCTCATTCACACTCACAGCTCACAAAAACTAACATTTCAGGGACAGCTCTTTAAATCCAGTAGTTGCCATCTCTGGGCTATAAAAATATATAAGGCCAATCCTGGGGTTTTAAGGAGCTTTGTTGAGTTTACTGCTAAAACTGACCATCCTCCTAACATTGGTGTAGCATATTTCTGTGCAGCAAAACAAACTCTGCTAGAGGTTTTGCAGTTTCCCACCTGCTTGGCTCAAGGCTTTGAGGGATCGGCTGAGGTTGGTGTTGCTTTCCCAGTATGGGGGTCAGATTCTCTGGTTGTATCTGTAGTAGTATTCTAAAGAGAGGCAAGACTCCAGCACTGTCCCATGATAATTACTGCTGACTAATTTTTAGCATGCTGCCTGGCATGTTTCTGGCCCACTCCAAGTAGTCTTTTCCCAGGCAGTGCCCAGGAAGAGTTGAAGGGATAGCATGTGCCAGGGATTGCTGCCAAGAGGCAGTTAGTTACTCTGCTTTGGAAGAAGAGACTTTAGCTGTGAGACAGACAATGCTGTTTCCCACAATGAACAGAAAAAAGGTTCTGGTCCTTTTTAGTTACTAGTGTAGAAAGGACCTCTAAGTGCTATAAAAATAAAACTTAATAGGCATTAACAAATGGTCTGATGAAATCTAATGCTGTGTTATTTGCCTGATCCTAACGCCCTTAAATCTTGTGATTTGTCCTTGATAAAGAAACCCTTAACGATAACTTCAGGAGGTGTTCATCCACTGGGTTTGTTTTAGCAGCATATTTACTGGGGCAGGAGGAAGAAATTGGGTGAAACTTTAATAAGCAAAAAGACTCACGTAATCTGTCCTGGTGCAACTGTTAAGCATTTAGCTTTTTTATGGCAGGTGTTGTTTGTTTCACAGATGTCCCTCATGCTGCATCCTTTCCCAGGTACAAAGTTGGTATAATGCTTCTTGCATTCACAGTGGGACTAAATCAGAAGGATGTGAGAGGGGAGAGAAAAATTAGCCATGTACAAATGGTGGATTTCAGCATCATTTCTGGGACTAGGGTTTGAAGACTGTGAGCCTTAGTTAGTCACCTGGTGAGTTCAGACACAAATATAAAACATATCCATAGTTATACAGCTCCTTTCTAGGTTTTATCCACTCCAGAAAACTACTGACTCTCAGCTAAATTTTCTTCAGATAAAGTCCTGTGAATTCACTTTTCTGACCAGAGAACATTAAACCCAGTGTGTCTAGTCCAAAGTTTTTACCACTGTTCCCACCCACAGCCCTCTGCTTCCCAACGTGAGTGTCAAAGCCACATGCAGATCATTGAGATATGACCACGGATTGCAAAACAACCCTGGATGATCGCGTCCCTTCTTGGCTCTTCAGGGTGTCTGAGCTAACCAGGCATGGTCTTGCTTTTTTGAAGGCAGGAGTTTTACACACAGAAATCTGAGCCAGTTCCCAGCATCATGAACAATATGCAGCCTTTATAAAGTGCTGTTCGTTGGTTTTCTTCAGTGATCCAGATTATTCTTTCCTAAATAAACTAGCTTTAAGTATGTCTCTGTGGTACCTGTGTAAGGAACCTACTGGTCCTACAAGCCCCCTGTGGTCAGAGAGACAAAATTTAACTAGGAGAAGATTCATTACAATACATCAATTTTGCCAAAATTGGAGCCAAAATATTTTCGGAATAAGAACACTATTGTCATTCCCATTTTCAGAGGTGGGAACTCAGGATACATACATTGAAAAGGGAGGTAAAGGGACTCACTCCTGGAGTTTTGCCAAAGCTAGGAGCAGAGTTTGATCTCCTTGAGACCTGTTTCCATACCCTCATAGCTTTTCTTTTGGAGAGAAAGCATTATTTCTTCTTAGGCAGCTGACATAAGAAACATCTGGGCACTCATTCCAAACTGACCTTTCCTGGACCATCATAGATGCAAGTGGTGGACTGTGCAGGGCAGTTCCCATACGCTGCTTGGCAAGGGTCTATGGGTAAGCAGATTTGACCATCCCCTCTGTAACCTTCTTGGCAGGTGCATTTGTGCTGGTTTGGGCCGAGGTAAATGCAGTCAGCATTAGGATCACAGACCTTTTTGGAGCACGGGTTAATAGCTTATGAAAAAAGAAGTGAAGTAAATGAGTTGTTGCCCACAGTTCTCAAAAGGAAGACAAGGATTTACTAGAGCACATCCATGCCAAGCAAAGCCTGGGTAGAGTAAGCTTTTCATAACAGTCAAGTCCAAATTATCATGGTGGTATGAAGACAGAAGGCAAGAATGTGTTTATGCTAACGTAGCAACCAACTGTTTGCTTTTGAACAGAAATGATCTCTTAACCTGGCAAACTGAGTTATAAACAGATTAAAACATGTAATGTGCTCATGAAAATATCACAACTATTTCCTTGTCGTCTGGTGGATTTTAACTAGAGAAAGTCAGGTAGGTGGTATGAAGTCCATACAAGCTTTCAGAGCATGCTAGATCTGTTGGAAAATTTTTCTCAAATCACTAGGCCCTCGCTGCTTTCTTTCCAGTAATTAAACAATACAACTACATTGGTTCAGCTATATGGAAAACTAGCCAGTAAGTACTTCAGTCAAGTCTTCTACGATAGACTCAGGACTGCACTAGAAGCTCACTAGCTATTTATATGAAGCTATTTTTCGAGGCAATGCCATTGTTTGTCCTTGTTCAAGATCAAGAAGTGCTTGGACAGCATCTTTCCACCCCTTTTTGTCCAGTTCAGGTTATGGTTAAGAACACATTGTAGCAAGAAGATGGCAGGCCCCGGACTCACCTAAACATCGTGTTCCTCACCGTTTTCCCCTCTTCTTCTTTCCTTCTTCCCCCTCACTTGGGGCTGAGAGAGCTGGCAATGCTCAGCTTCATTCTTTCAAGACTTCTCTTCAGCTCCAGTGTGAAATCATGCACACACACATATTCACATGCTCAAATCAACCATAAGCAATGCCACTTCCAAGCTGAGCCTGAGGCAGCCACTGCTATCCTCACTTATGTTTAGCTGCTCTGAAGAAGCTGTTTCTCCTTTGCTTTCCAGCCAGCCAAATACAAAAGACCTGTCTGAAGCCACAGATGACCTCAGTGTCTAAAGGCACTGGTGCCAAGGATCAGCATCTGTGCCGGCTGCATCAGTCAATCCCAAGAGAAGGAGGGATATTAGCATCCTCCTTCTTGTCTGGTTTCTGCATTTTCTCTGTGTCTTACTTGGCTATGCTGCCTACTAGAGGAACCTCATATTCCCTGAGGAATGCCTTTCTGATGTTTTGCTTCTGGATGGTGTTCAGGCTTATACAGAGAGGCTGACACCATAGATAGGACCAAGAGGCTTGAATGTAAGTATTCCCAGACAGAATAAGAAGTATTGCATTTGTGGCCTGATCCAAGCAAAGATTTACTAAGTAGTGCTTCCAGCATCAGATGCAACAATTTGCTTTGTTGCAGTTGGTATAGAAGGAAGAGCTGATGCTGTAAGACATAATGGAAAAGAGGAAAGAAAACCTGGACTCTCATAAAACAATTAATTTGGACATTCACTGACAAGTTGAGGAGTCTATAGAGACAACTTGAAGGTAGATTTTACCTCTGTTTGAGATGCTATTAGCACAACTCCAAGGTAGACTTTATCCCTAGTTGAGATGCTATTAGCTTTGTTTCATGAAAAATAGGCAAGTTAAAATGAGCTTTATTTGTGTGTAGGGTTTATGCTTAGGGATGAGGCTGAGCTGCCACATGATGGATGTTCAATAAATAAAAGCTCCTGGTTGCTGCTGTTAATTTTTCTGGAAGCAGACTATGACACTGAACTTTATCAAGCAAAGGGATATGACAGGACTGGATTTGGAAGCATGGATGACACAGTATCCACACTATGTATTTCAAGGGGGTTTATTAGCTTTAGTCTGGTTACATGGGCAGAAACTTGTTAGCAGTTGGATAGATGTGCTTCTGAAGCACATCTTAGAACTTAGTTTCATCCTGAAGGAATCTATTTTGTGCTTTGGGATGTGAACTCAAGAACAATTAGATGGTGAGATTTGGCTCAGAATCACACTCCACATCTGAGTTACAGTACTAATGATGCTGTATACAAAGAACAAGTGGACATGAAATTTACTCACGTTCACACTGTGTGCTGTCCCCATGGTAGTTGGGCAGACATGAGCATTGCAGTTGTCTTCCATCCTCACCTGAGGCAGTACATCTGGAATTTGCAGGGCACTGCAAGGCCTCACATTCAGCTATTGCTGAGGGACAGAGGGTGATAGGTTAACCTGTGCCTGCACACTGTGCCAGGAGGCAATGCATTCTGCTGTAAACTAGTTCAAAGATCTAGGCACCATTGATCCCATTGCTGCCATCATTTGTTTCTGGTGATTGAAGTGGTGATGATGATTATGGGAGCTCACACAGAGGGTTTGAGGTTAGGTGTGTCTTTTTGGTTGCTCTTGTGTGACTAACCTGAGACTAATTTTACATTTGTCCTTACCAATTCTAACTGTCTCAGAGCTGTTGAAGGTATCTTACCTAGAAAACAATCTACTTACGCTGATCACAGCTGAGCCCTTTGTATCCAGACAAGCAAGTGCATCTTCCATCCCCTGTGATTCCACCGTTGCATACTCCATGAACACAGTCACAAACTATGAGGAGAAATGGGTTTGCTTTACTGAATAGTAATGGTGTTGGGAAAGACATCATTAGCAGATACTCACAGGAAACTGTGTCCTGGCCAACAGCTTTGGCCAAACCAAGCTTTGATCCGAGTGCCTGAATTTATAGGCTTCCATTAATGAGCAGATCAATACTCACAGTTGCATACATCAGTGAACAACATAGTAATTTTAGCCAGCTGTTAAGAGCCTGGGGACTGAAAAATCTTCATGACACACACTACAAACACCAAACTGAATAGTTGCTAATGCCATAAAATTCGTAAATTTTGACATGCATTCTGAAGTCAAAATTGGATATAATGTGTAAATAGACCTTCTTTATAACTGGTAACATGTTGCTCGGTTTTGCTTCAACTCTGTTTGTGTCTCAAGCACTTCAAGAAGAGATGACTTTTGTGACTCTTTTTTCCTAAGCAGAATTTATTTAGTTAAAACCTGTGTAGGTGTCAGGCTTCTTTCTGGTCCTGTTCCTATATTCTGTCATTTCTGGTATGTTCTGGTTATAAACCCTGTGACAATAGATGAGACTAGATGTGCCACGGTCTAGTAACCACGGTAGTGTTGGACTTGATCTTGGAGCTCTTTTCTAGCCTGTTTGATTCTATGATTCTAATACGCACACAAGATGCTGAATTCAGAGTCCAGGCAACTATAAGACCCTTCTATAAGTGATTTTGAAGCCTTAGGTATACTCAAAAAGCTTAACAGTTATAGCTGAATGATGGTAATGATGCTTTTTATAGTTACACTTGTGAAAGCCTCTAAGATGTACAGAGTTGTATTGGTGAAGTGCAGTGGTGTAACACATCTTCTTCCCCTTACAAACATACACTGTGTTCATGGAAATCACCTGCACTAATTAATTAGCAACCTCCTCCCTATGTTCGTAGTCCTAATAGAACAACAGGAATGTCTAAAGAAATATTGAAAAGTAGTTAGCCACAAACTAATATTTGCACGTTATTTTAGAGAACTTGGAGGAGCTCAAATATCTGAAAGCTAAAGTGTAAAATGTGGCTTAAATTAACACACAGTTGAATCTTCCAGTAGCTTCTTGGAAAATAATTACATTTAAGATATGGAATTCATTCAAGTACCCTATTTTCCTGCAAACATTGTCTCAGTTAAGTATCTGTGTATCAACACTGGCATCCAGTGGACAGCTGGTGGAAAAAGGGCCTTGGAGTCAGCAGTAATGGAGGATTAGTGTAGAAAGACCAGCACAGATTATGTAAATTGAGACCATTGTGACTCTTTAGAAATAACTTTATGTAGCTCTGGAGGGAAGAAAATGATTTTATTAGGAAACAAACAAGTACTAACACTTAGAAATTAGATGGGTTTAAATTTTTTTTCAGGCAGTTTTCTGGTTTGTCAGTTTAATGATCAACAAGGGACAGGAAGGTAAATAAAATACTGGAGATCATAGATTTAGGTTAGACTTTGTGAAGAAGTTTTCCCTGTGAGGGTGGTGAGACACTGGCACAGGCTGCCCAGGGAGGCTGTGGCTGCCCCAACCCTGGCAGTGTTCAAGGCCACATTGGATGAAGCCTTGAGCAACCTGCTCTGGTGGGAGGTGAACCTGCCCAGGGCAGGGCGCTGGGACTAGTTGATCTCTAAAGTGCATTCCAACCCCTAAAATTCTATGGTTCTATGATTAAGAAATAGGCACAACTGGAAAATACAAATGTATACACCTGTGATACATATACATTCCAAATAGTGCCCATTGCTCTGATCCCTCCCTCAATGTTCCACTTCTCCTAATAGAAGTATGGCTAATAAAAAAACCCCAAAATTAAACCAAACCCACCATTTTTTACTCTTCTGTCAGAATTTGTGGATCTTACTGGCACAGAATAGAGTGAAGAACAAAGGCATATTGGACTTAGAGACAAGGTAGATAATTTATGGAGGCTGGATCCAAGAGCAGTCTTTAAACACTACAATTTGAATGCAATCTCTGGGTGCTTCTACTGTTGGCCTCCAATATGGCTAGAATGATTTTTGACCTGATTGAAAATGGCTTGGTTTAGAGCCAGATTAAAATACCACATGGGTATTTCATGTCTTAATGCAGATGGTTCAGTTTGTAGCTATATTTGAAAACCTTGAAAAAGCCACAGAAAACCACTATCAATTATGCCTTTGATATATTCCCACCCAACATTTAAATTCCATAACAACCTCCTGTATTTAGATCAAACATAATTGAGGCTGCAAAGTGTCTAACAGGACCGAGTGCAGCATTAGCAAGTTTGCAGACGACATAAAGTTGGGGGGGAGTGTTGGTCTGCTGGAAGGCAGGAGGGCTCTGCAGAGGGACCTGGATAGGCTGGAGAGATGGGCTGATTCCAATGGGATGAGGTTTAACAAGACCAAGTGCTGGTCCTGCACTTTGGCCATACCAATCCCATGCAGCGCTCCAGGCTGGGGACAGAGTGGCTGGAGAGCAGCCAGGCAGAAAGGGACCTGGGAGTGTGGAGAGACATGAGCCAGCAGTGTGCTCAGGTGGCCAAGAAGGCCAATAGCATCCCAGCCTGGATCAGGAACAGTGTGGTCAGCAGGACCAGAGAGATGATTCTTCCCTTTGACTCGCTGCTGGTGAGGCCACACCTTGAATCCTGTGTACAGTTCTGGGCCCCTCAGTTCTGGAAGGATATTGAAGTGCTGGAGCAGGTCCAGAGAAGAGCAGTGAGGCTGGGGAAGGGACTCGAGCACAAGTGCC